CCCCCCCCCCCCCCAAACAAATTTGCATAACCACTGTCTTCGATTTCCCTAGGGGTGACTGTAATACCTAGGAGAACTTGCAAACAATGGTCATGCAGAATTTTGAGGGGTAAACAACATGCATTATGGTCTATGTGAAAATAGTGAATCGATAAAACTACTTCAAAGACATTTACAGAACAAAAACAACAAAGCTTATACGGTAGAGACAAAAGATGTACTGTGCTATTGCGTGTTTTACAAATTTGAGAACTTGTCAAGTAGTCGAGACGATTTTGAGGCAAAATTGCCGAGCAAGGTTTCTACTGACATGAATAAAGCACTGACTCGTTCCAACCTTCTTTTTAACTGGCACGGTGGGAGCAGGAGTTAATGGATTGTACGTCGTGAGAGAGGCTGAGAAGATTCAACGCCTTACTCTCCTTATCTTTCTCGTTAATCCAAGCTGAGGTCACAGTTTACCCCCTATTCACAAAAAGTGGATTCCCGCAAGTTGTCTGGGAAAGGTGAGGACCAAGTGCCGTCCTATTCACCAACAAAAACAAGAAACAGCAAAACTTAAGTTCATAAAAACACAAAAAAGACCGAGTCCAATATCCAGTCATCTTAACCGAACAAACTTGGTCAATAAAGGATTTATTAAATGACCGAAAAGAGGACTTTCCCTTGCGGAACCACAGCGGGAACTGAATCTCGCAGGGGCAAGAAAAAAGGCGACACGCGGCGTGTCGCCTTTTCTCGCGTGGGGTGATTTTCACGCGCGCTGGCGTTTCGCTCGTTCTACTATCCCTGAGGAAAAATGGGGACTACTCGCAGTCTAGATAGCCCGGTGCCCTTTATCTTCGTCTCTTCGTTTTTCTTCTCTTCATTTTCTGTAGCTTTCTTTCGCTGATTTGTCGATTACAATTCCACATCTCTCTCGGACAAATCACAAAGATTGTGCTAAGTTGGCCATAAATATGTGAGTGGAAATGAATTAGCCTTGACCGTTATTAGCACAAGGTGGATGTATTCAAAAATACAATCCCAGGTTTGAGACAATTGCCTTTGTTTATCATAAACATCAAGATTACTTCCCAGACTTGTTATGTCGACATACAGGGTGTGATGTAAACAGAAGAGTAGGTTAAGGACATTACCACTCTGTTAATTACTACGTCTTTCCAACTTGTACTGTGTATGATATTTAGTTTGAATAAATATACTCCACTAAGGACCTCCATTCGTTCTTTACACCTTCTATTGAAGTGCAGTTTATCCCCTCAAAAGCCCTAAAGCTTGTAATTGGGAAAGTTAAATGTGTTTTTAAGCCATCAAATGTTTCCACTGAGGCATTCGTAATAGGATGTAGGTACTCCCTTTACGGTAAAATAAAATAATTAATTAATTGGATAAAAAGTCTGGCTAGGGACGATTTCGTATTGATTATTCAACAATTTTAATTGCTAAAAGCTAAATGCATAGCCAGGTTTATTTTTCAGTTTTTGTTAGCTTCTTGTTTGCAAAAAGCAGTGATGCAGCGATGTTATATAATTTTAAGTGAACGTTTGGTATGAAATACAGTGCCACCCAATAAATTCTGACCTCTTCGCCCGGAAATTAGTCGCAGCATCGGGTAACAATATCCGTTTCTGGTTCACAAGTTGTTCGGACGTGTGGAGATTAGAATCCAACACCTTTCGCTCTGCGAAGTGGCTATCATGCAAAAACTGACATTACCAAGCTTAAAAGTGTGAAAAGTCAGTCTCAAAAAAAAGCAAATGCTGTATTCTGTTCTGTTAATGAATATCTTTGCATTCTGCTTCATTCGTCTTCTGCCTCATGATTAGTTGAATCCTGTTGTTGTTTTGGCCGTGATCCTTCGCTATTAATTGTTGCCAATTGGCTTGTGCTCAGGCTCTTTAATACCGCCGGAGATGATTGCAGTCTCTTGCGGCCTTTAACTTTATCGTTATCGGGCAGTTCAATTTTAGGAAGAGCGAAACTTCTTCCGCGTTGTTTGATCAGCGATCCCTGAAGTTCCCTGTCGTAACTGATGGAGTGTCGGACAGGAGGCAAAGGCCAAACAACAAGACCCTCTTCTGTAGACTGTAATCGCGGTAAACGCCTTAATTCAAGAAAACTCATTGGTGATCTGCAACTGAAATCAGATTGCCTTCGCTGATATAGCCTGTCCTCTCTTTTTGAGTAACCCACCAGAAAGTCTCCTCTATCGCTAACATGTGTGTGGACTGCGCTCGATACTTTAAGTCGTTTATCACTTGTTTTTGCAGTTTCCATAGCCTGAAGTTCGCTTCTTAATGAAACAAGATTACGCTGAATATTTCGCATTTCTCGTTCTTCCTCTTTCGCCAGTTGACCGAGCTGTCTGCCAAGTCTTTCATTTTCTCGCTCATTTTTTAGTTTAGCTTCGACAATATTTTTGATAAGTTTACGACGGAGGGCCCTTGCTTTTTCACCTTCTTCGTCCTCCGCCGTTATCATAGCTCAACAACTTGGTTCGCAACTTGTATTTTACAGTTTTTCATTAAAGGTCAGCGAACGTATTTTCCTAATAATAAAGAATTTTCCGTACCTTTCTGGATTTACCACAAACTTTCTGCGAATTTGAATAAGGGAAAGTGAAGGGAAAATATAAACTACTAATATCAATAATTAATTTGTTGCTATGTTTGAAACTTTTGTTTAACGAATCTATCTTTTGGAACAAAGGATGCTCTTGGTTTGATATTGATGCAACATTTCATGAAATAGTTTAATTACGCAGATTCGTTCATTGACTCTGGCCCTTCTTCTTTAAAAGAACTTAAAGATCCCTTGGACAGTTCCTTGAAAGTTTTAAACAAGAGATAAATTTCACGCGCTCAAAGGATTACAGACGACAGGTGTTTAACAGATCTCTGAATACACATCAACACAATCAGTGAAATCTCATTTACCTAACAGTTGTATTCCTTGGAGGGACTGTTATCAGCATGTCTATCATTTTATGTGCAAAGAGAAACGTACTTTTGGGAGCTGATTAAAGCGGATATCAGTCGAGGCAGATATATTTATCTGCGTGGGCTTAACTGATCGTGAATGCGTCAAAAACGAGATAAATAGTTTGGTCGTCTCAGTCGCGAAAATAAAAAGTGAACGTAAAAATGAAGTCCGCTCTTTCTCCGAAATTTTTTCCTGCTAGCTTTAGATTAACTTAATAATTTGAAGATTCGCCTATTATTTTTCTGCTTTTCGGGGTTAAATTTCGTTCGGCGAGAATTTTATCGTTTTATTTAAGATAGGCATTTCGCATTTCATATGTGCCGAATTTAATTCGAGAATTAAATGTATTTGAAATACGGCAAGTGAATCAATGAAATTGGACAGCTCAGAATGAAATGCGACTTTCGCTGAATCTGTTACTGAAACAGTGCCAAGAAAAAATTGGACATAGATTCAAACGGCCAAATGTAATGCATCAATCATGGTAATTGCCATAATTCATTTCCAACCCAAGCCATAGGTAGGAGAGTCTAAACAACCCTTGCAAAAGTGTCGGGAGAAGGATGAATGGTATTGTTCTTGCTTCTTGTAAACAAATTGTTCTTATTTGACGCGTCATATATTTTTCTTCGTACGAGATGCTTAGTTCTCAACCATTAAGAATCAGGGAAGAGATTTTCTTTTGAGGTGGATAGAGGCAAAATACTTTCAATGATTTTTGTATTTTATCCTAACCTGTTTGACTATCTCACGCTTATTTCGGTAAACATGTGACGCCGTTTTTCCCCGTTCTTGTGGCCTGTTGCAAGCGGTAAAAGGGAAGTGGTTATACGCTGGCGGTTATGGTTGGTTAACCCTTTAAGCCCTAATGGTGATCAGCATAAAATTTCTCCTTCTAATATCAATGCTTTGTAAAACAGAGTGGTCATGAGAATTACCGACATGATCTCACAAGATGAATGTGCTTGATATTTTATTAACTTCTCTCCACACTTCTGTAGGAAATGAACAGGGGCAACAAGTGAGAATTCAAATTTTGATCTTAGGGTTTAGAAAGTGGTAAAGCATACTTAGTAGAGGAGACTGGTCAGCAAAGCCGGCAAATAGCAACGATGAAGACAACGGTGTTGCAGTTTATTCTGGAAGCTGCCACACTCTTATTGTTTTGTTTTTTGCTCAGAAGTTGTGACTGAATAAATTAATGTGACGTTTTCATTGGTCAGATATTGAAAGGATGCTATTCTACTATGTGCACGGTCGAATCCAAAAAAGCTATAAAAACATATTGAAATCTAACGGGCTTAATAACCATTGCAATATATTAACTAATGGTCAAAGCTACTAGTGGCGATTTTAGTAATGGTGTCTTGCGCAAAAAAATCTTTTTTTCGCGTACTTTTGAACTTTCTTTCGCAAAATTTAGGTCAATTTGTTTATAACAATGGACTCCATTGTTATAAAAAATTGACCTAAATTCGAGAGGTTTGCTTCGGTAGGTGCCGCGTTCCATTTAGGCTACTATATTTTGTCGGATACTCCAGTTATACTGTACTTGATTCCACTGGAAGGTACATGTAGATCACAATAACTGTAAATAGATTTAATCATCAGCAGTTTGCGTAAAAAAAATGGTTTTTTTTAGTGTTGGTTCTCATTCTCACCAGCTCACAAACCCAGTTTCGTTCGTTACCGTTTCTTATGTGCCTGTACTTATACAAGCCGGCCTTCACTGCCTGGTTTAGTTCGCTAGCGAGACTATATTGTGTGTTAGTTTTAAGTTCGTATTGAGAAGTGCTATCGCCGCAGATAGAACCGACAATACAACAATAACAATAATTTATTTAACCACATTATCGTCTAAGAGCACAAGTGCTCTTTCAAAAGGTGCACGTGCATTAAAACTACAACTAAAATTACTAATAAAATCTAGTATATAAAAAAATTAAATATATGATCTATAATCTATGTACACATGAATGTAAAAATTATAAAAATTACAAAAAAAAATTAAAAATATAAAAATTACAGCTGAATTGATCTTAACTTAGACTTAAAAATATATTATCGGCCAGCTTGACATCTTCTGGAAGTTTATTCCATAGTTGAGCGCACTTGTAAGTAAAAGAGTTCCTCGTAAAATTGAGATTAAATTTGGGAACGCAAAGATTAACCACATTTCCTCTTAAATTGTAACACGTTTCTCTTTAATGCTAAAATAGTCTTTAACCATTGTTTCCACGGTAAGCTTTATCCATTTTTTATGCCAACGCTGTTTGGTTTTTAACTTAAAAGGCAATCTACCAAAATATCGCAAAACTAAAAACAGTAAGGTCAGTAAGTATATCCGTTGTGTATTGTCAGAGTTTTAGTGAGAACATTTTAATTAAAAGTGGTCCTGAAGACCTTTTTCAGGGGCCAGTAACTTAAAAGCTACAGAAGAATCAGGCTATACCAAGAAAAATAAAGCAGTTTTTTATGATCTATGGAAAAATTTCAACGATACAGAACACCATATTCATAAAAGTTAATGGCCGCTTTGCAATTTTGCAGTTCACATAACATCTCCTTCTCACTGTGACGTTTCAACCAACTGTAGTCGTTCAGCCACCGAGTATAATTAATAACCTTTTTCTCGTAACAAGACTAATCTATCTGGTAATTCCTATTCGAGTTTATAAGAGCTCCTAAGTACTTCCCGGATAAACAAATTACAATTTTTTTACCAAACATCACGTTGTTGTCCCGATCTTGACAATGGTCTAAGAGAGGTATGGGTTTTATTTTGTTTTGTCAGGATCCAGGTTATTTGTTATTAAACAGAGGAGGCTTTAAGAAGACTTTTTAACGACATTTTATTGACAATTATTTAACACACGTTACAAGGCAATATACTACTTAAACACAGATGGGCAATGAGGACTTAAAGCAAATCGCTACGGCGACCTCTACTACGACGACCGGAAGTAAAAAAGGGCAAAACATGACGCATTGCGCATGCTTGGAAATGACCTTTCGCCGCAGCGCGAAATCCTGGAACGTTAAGACTTGTCTTGTGGCGTAGTCACTTCTACGTGACTAGAAAAGTCGACTTTTCTCCTATTTTCTCCTGTTTCCTATCACTTGTTTTAAAACCTATCATGGATTGTTTTTCGTTTTACCAAGAAAAGTATTTGACGCCTCTGGTTTTCCAGTAATTACGTCTTCCCTGCGTTTTACTTACGGCGAAAGTAAAAGAAGGAGAAAACCCGTAGGCACTGTTTAGGCGCCGCTTGCTTAAAGTTGAAATTCGGCGGGCTATGGTGACGTACTGTCCTAGGGCTCCGCATCCACGACCTCCGTAGTGGAGGTCGTCGCAGCGATTTGCTTAAAATCCTCCCAACATTTCTCCAGGTTGACCCAGTAATACATATATTACATTTAATTCTTATACCGTAGTTCCTCAAATAAGCCAGTTGGCGCTTGTTATAAAGTTCGGCCAAAGGGTGAGTAATTTAAGGGGTGGGGCGCCAGGTTTTGCCTCAAGAAACTGAACTTTACCATTAAATTTCGCCGTCCTCGAAAACTCCGCAGGGACAGCTAAATTGGACGGCAAATTAATGTGGGCAAGGTTACAAGCAGTATAGTTCACCTCATGGGCGTTTACAGTTGCCCAACCAGTACCAGAAGAATTTGAATTCAGAGCTTCTGGTAGTCTGGCCAATCAGAAGAAAGGAATTCGAGTGTATCGGTAACTGATTTGCTTAGAGTAAGTGTACTGGGGTTATCTTGTTCTTAATGGCAACTTTGCCTTTGATGAATTGGTTTGTGAATATTCAGCACCAAATAGCCGCCCCTGGGTCAGTGATGATACATTTTGCCGGATTAAATGACGTACAATAACTCTACAAGTGCATGGAAATACGATCAAAGTGCAGAAGACTCAACAGAAAAGAAACTCTTCCCTATATTGATGCTTGTATCATTTGTCAAACTTTAAAAACATAGTAAAGGTGAAAAGACCTTCCTTTTTCATGCGTTAGTTACAGAGCAAAGTGAGGCAGAGGGCTGTTTTAGTTGACAGGTGGACGCTTTCTTAGGAGCAGACGCTTATTCGATGAATTACGGTAACTCATTTAATAAGTTTTAAAAAATAGCAGTAGCGTCTAGATCTTTGCATTAAGATATATACAATACATATTTAAACTTTCTTGTTTTTACCAGAGCTGGGGCCCGTTTCTCTAAAGTCCCGATAACTTTTCGGGCCCGAAATCAAATATTCAAATCGAAATAAAAAGAATAAGAGCGCGGGTCCTGGCTAGCAAACTACTCCATTTTGCTTCATTAACTGATAGTTTTGTCATGTTAGATGCAAAACTATTGAAACCTCTATCTTGGATGTAAACAACAACAGCTTTACGGGCCCGTTAATTATCGGGATTTTCGAGAAACGGGCCCTTGCTACGAAAAATTCAAGTAGAAGGATTCCTGATGCATTCCCATCCACACAAGATATTTCCTTTTATTTTAGCCGACGTTATTCCTGCGAAACAACTTTCGTACGTTTGGATCACACCACGGGATTTGATATAAATAAGTGTCCCGTATCAAAGATAAGTTAAGATGTCTACGAAGCACGGAGTTTACTTTGCTTTTTTGTTACCCTTTTTGGGGATAACTCAGTTAGGTTTCATGAATTGGTAATCCGATTTCCAAGTAACGTTTCTTTGCTTAAATGAAAGAGTGCCTGGAATCTAGAAAACTTTACACTTCAAGTGGGTGTATTTCTTTCGAAACAACGGATAAAAAAAAAAAAGTACGCCAGGTTACTGGTTTTCCAGTATGACCCGGTTCAGACGCCGATCTTTTTATGAGCCGAACCTAATACATTGAATTAAGTACATGAAACGTTCGGCGTCTGAATCAATTAGGAACGCTTCATTCAATTTGGAACGGCTCAGCTGTTCTTTTCGCCTAACCCTGTCGGGAATTTCGCCTTTGGAGCGACTTTGGAACGACTTTGATTCAGACGCCAAACTTTTCATGCACCGAACCTAAAGCATAAATTATTATAACATGTTTTGCAAGCAGTTTGACCGAAATGACCATTTTTCGCCTTTTGAACTTAGTTCACCTGCTATTAAGATCGGCGTCTAAATCAATTCACCAGGTCTAAATAATTTGGGTCGGCCTTCATTCGAATTAAGTTCGGTGCATGAAAAGTTCGGCGCCTGAACCGGGCCTAACTGAGGAGACGTTTCTTTGAAATAAGTGGGGAAAACGCAACCAAAAATAATAATAGTAGTAAGTGCTTTAGAAAGCAACTTTTACTTCCATCATTTATTGCACCCTTACTGCTTAACATTATAGAAATTAAGTACCGTAAAATTCCGAAAATAAGCTCCGGGGCTTATATTTTTCAAAGCCCCCTTTTGAGGGGCTTATTTTTGGAGGGGCTTATATACGGAGGGAAGCTTGCATTTCAAAATCGACTAGGCTCATACTTGGAGGGAAATTCGCGTCTCAAATTCGATTAGGCTAGCTTATAGTTGAAAGGAAATATATGTCAGTAATTTGCAGAAAGTTTTTACTGAAACTCGCCTTGAGGACATAGACCTTTCTGAAACGCAGCCATGCAAGTACTCTTTCCGTATGGACCGAGGAAATTAAAGCCAAGAGTGAAGAGGAACTACGCAAACAGCAATAAACTGTTACACTTTCTGACTGCAATCATTTGGCACACGTACACCTGTAATAGTTCTTTGGCAAATACAAAGAATTATATGCTACTGTACCGTGTTTGCTTTGTTTTATTATTTCGTATTTGGGTAATTTTTTTCAAGTACAAGCCCCCGGGGGCTTATATCCGGAGAAGCGATTTAACGGAGGGTTTTTTGCGTTACGAGTTTGGGGGGGGGGGTATATTTGGAGTCTCTTATACATGGGGGCTTATTTTTGGACTTTTACGGTAACTGACAGACACAATAAATAGAAACAGTGATATTTGGACTTGATTGACCCTTATATATTATTTACCAGTGTGTGTTGCTGCTAAAGCGCATTGGTGGATTAACAGCACAACACCCTGCATACACTGAGCCATCTTGGTGGTCAGCAGGCGCCAAGTTTGGCCGCTGATAAGGCAAGGCAGGGGGACTGGGAAGTAGTAGAACTGGAGATGCTGCCATCACTCGCTCGGGCCGACCTCCCTCTGCCTTCTTGATTTCTTTGCGCCATTTAAAACGCCTGTTCTTGAACCAGGTCTGTGAAAGAATAAACCAGATGTCAAAATAAATTTAAAAAACAAAAAGGTGGCCTTTCTCCGTCTCCTGTTGGCTTTTGTTCATACCCAGCTATAGCGTTGACCAATTTTGGATGACTTTTGCGATATCAGATAANTACTGTTGTGTGTTTGTTTTGTTTTTCTTTTTCGTATTGGGGTAATGTTTTTGTATGGGAGTGCCCCGGGGTCTTATATCCGGAGAAGGGATTTAGTGGGTGGTTTTTTGGGTTAGGGGTTTGGGGGGGGGGGTTATATTTGGAGTCTCTTATACATGGGGGCTTATTTTTGGACTTTTACGGTAACTGACAGACACAATAAATAGAAACAGTGATATTTGGACTTGATTGACCCTTATATATTATTTACCAGTGTGTGTTGCTGCTAAAGCGCATTGGTGGATTAACAGCACAACACCCTGCATACACTGAGCCATCTTGGTGGTCAGCAGGCGCCAAGTTTGGCCGCTGATAAGGCAAGGCAGGGGGACTGGGAAGTAGTAGAACTGGAGATGCTGCCATCACTCGCTCGGGCCGACCTCCCTCTGCCTTCTTGATTTCTTTGCGCCATTTAAAACGCCTGTTCTTGAACCAGGTCTGTGAAAGAATAAACCAGATGTCAAAATAAATTTAAAAAACAAAAAGGTGGCCTTTCTCCGTCTCCTGTTGGCTTTTGTTCATACCCAGCTATAGCGTTGACCAATTTTGGATGACTTTTGCGATATCAGATAAAATGACATCAGTAGTATAGACTATCCCCTGTAATCGAGAAGTCCTGGGACGAGGTTGCATCAGGTTGAAGTGGTGAAAATTTTTACTTGTTTTGCGACAACGAAATAGCCAAACTTCTGCCCAATACGAAAGCAAGAACAGCAAGAATGCAACTCAACGGATGATATCTGCTACGTGAAGAATATCTTCAAGACTTCTAGAAATGTTAAAACACTTATATCCAGCATTTGCCGAGGGACAGGCAAATGAAGAAGGGAACTTATGGATCATTATACGGTTTTGGGAAACTGCCCACCTACCCCTCCCCTAAGTGAACATTTTGCCCTAAGTGAGAAGTAAGGCTTAATGTTGGCTTAGGGGAGGGGTAGGTGTGCAGTTTCCCAGAAACGTATAATGATAACTGTGAAAGCTCGTTGAAATAAGGCCTTTAAATGTACTAACACTAAGATATGATAAATTGTTTAGGTGCTCATTAACATTTCCAATACTTACCTGTACAATAGCCGGAGACAATCCAAGTTTGAAGGCCAACGCATCTCGTTCTTCGCCAGTCAAGTATAAAGAGGAGAGAAAAGAGTTCTCTAACGCAACTTTTTGGTAGATAGAAAACTGGGTGCGAGAAATCTTTCCCTTTCGTCCAGTTACGTTACTTGTGTTGACTGCTTCAGACTGTAACTGGTATTCTGGAATGAAGTACAATATTTTGAAATTTAACAGGATAAAGTTAAATGGCTCCGTCGAGAGGTTGGACTTCACTGTATTTTGTAGCATTTGCAAGCTATTCAACCACAGATTTTTGGTCTGATTTGTCAATGTGGGGTATATAACCAAATTTTAAAGTAGGGTTTGGAACGCCAAATTCATAGAGCTGCCTGTGAATAAAGAAATTGCCATAATAACTGATGTAAAGACAAACTGATTGATCCATAGGTATTCCTCCCCGAAAAATGCTAGAAGGTGCAAAAAGAACAACAAAGCAACAACAAAAGTACATGTACCCAACATTGTTGAAAGTATAGCAAAATGGGCTTCGAACGCTGGACATGAAAACAGCAGCAGAAACTGACTTTGTCCGGTGATAAACGAAAGTCCACAAAAGTGTACTTGTATGTGTTGAGAGGCTATTCAAGCATGGATGCAAAGGTCGTTCCTTACATTTGCATTTTACGTCTACCCTGTGAGAGTAATGTTTATTCAGTTAGTGATATACTGGTAAGGGACAAAATATCCAATTCATTCCTGCCAACAATAGTCGAACCTTATGCTTGGATAAAATGGAACAGCATCGCAATAAGAATTTTCCCATCTCGACAGATTGTTTCATACCTTATTGGTTTGATTTGATGGTTTCACATCTTATTTGTTTCTTGATGACAGCTCAGTTTTGCAGTAAAGTATACGATAGCTGTTTTAGCTGCCGGCCAGTTCTGAACAGTGGTAAGCTCGTCAAGGTTACGAGAAGAACGTTAAAGCCAAGCCCGGGAAGTAACTCTTGCCGAACCATTTCCAAAAACATTACAATTCTCTCTAGCCAATAAGAAGCAGGGATAACAAATGATTCTGGAACAGGTTTGGTAAGAGTAACTGTCTAAAAGCTCTAGTTATTTTTGTTTGACTGTAATGAATTTTAAATGAATATAATAATCTGCAGTGAACTGTCCCAGGCCAGTTTTTGAGAAAAAAAAAAAAAAAAAACCNGGTTACGAGAAGAACGTTAAAGCCAAGCCCGGGAAGTAACTCTTGCCGAACCATTTCCAAAAACATTACAATTCTCTCTAGCCAATAAGAAGCAGGGATAACAAATGATTCTGGAACAGGTTTGGTAAGAGTAACTGTCTAAAAGCTCTAGTTATTTTTGTTTGACTGTAATGAATTTTAAATGAATATAATAATCTGCAGTGAACTGTCCCAGGCCAGTTTTTGAGAAAAAAAAAAAAAAAAAACCTTGGTAATGTAATTAGTATAATTAGAAAAAAACAACTTTGTTCTTCTTGGTAAACATTATCCCTGCTAATGTTGACAAAACCGAAATGGAAGTAACAAGATTTTACAAGGAAGAAAGTGAGGAACAAACAAAGAAAACAAGATAAATATTTTGATTTGTTCTTGCTACGGGGTACCCAAGGCGAAAATGTTTTGAAAAGTGAACGCGATTTCCCATATATGGTGATAGCATCATCGTTCTACTCAGTGACCTTGCCGTTTCTCCGGGAAATGAGGAGATCTATCCGTACATATAAGTACAAGTACGGGTAAATTACCCGTACACGTTCAGGGAAACGGTGTGTTCTAAGGTCTTTATTCTAAAATTGATACTATTTTTTAGATTATCGATTATCCTTTTTTGGTGTTACAAAGCGCCGTCGCTAGAGGCACGTTATGTCGTCTGCTGAGACATACCTAGAGAGTGACTGTTTTTTGTATTTTCAGTGTGGAGGTTCTGAGATGGTTTTCCTTTTCAAATCAATTTAAGAATTTTGACGGTATATTCTTGGTGAGAAGAAAATTAGAAGGAACAAAAAAACGTAAACGAGGCCAATAGCAAATAAATTAGAAGCGACATCTATAAAATTGTTCACTTGGAAAGGTGGATAACGCTATCCACCGAATAAATCCCTGTTTGCTGGATAGGTATTTATCTGGTAAATAACGACTCTTTTGAATAACCGGCGCGAGACCCTGGGGCCTAAGAAAAAGTCAACGAATGCCTTCACACTTTTCATCTTGTCTCTTGGAAAACGACACACAAAAAAACCTGGGTAGAAATTGTTGGATCTCTGTTGAATGGCTAGGTGCGAGGCTAGGTTTTAAGATATTTGAAATGAGCGATGCAAATAGAAACTAGGCACAGAGCAGCTTTATGTTTGTTGTTTCAACATTTCCAGGGAAATTTCTTTCCTTGATTTTTTTTTAAGTGGGGAATAATAGGCAGTTTAGCGACGAAAGACTGATTATCTGCTCCTGTTTACTGTACAAACTACTGTTGACCGAAATTCAAAATCTGCTTTCTGTTCAGTTAAGGGAATAAAATAACAAAGTGTATTCGTTATTCCCCCAACTGCATATACAGCCTTGCTACATTGACACTTGTAATATCCCAGCCGTACAGTAATCCTTGATTATTTCTCTGTTCGACAAATGTTCGTCGAATAGATCTACCTGGAAATCGGTAGGGCCCTTTTGTTTTTCACGTTGGCTCTGGACACGTTAAACAGAAAGCATTGATTAACCTCGATCACAGAAGACGGTATGTCGAGATATTATTTACACTTAACGGAACAGCGACGAACCAAATTACTAGAAATTTTCAGATGGACTGCTTCTTACACATGAATGTCAAAATAAAATCTCGTTAGATATGGTAACAAAAAAAGTCACACAGATGTGGTGTGTCTCTCACCTTCATGCAGCGAACTACGTGGAAAGCATTTCTTCATGGATTCTACATGATTTGGAGTTGAAAACTGCTCAAATGGATAAAGAAATTTTTCGGAAGGATTGCCGGCCATTTTGTGTTTAGATCTCCCAGTAGCTAGAGTGTTTTTCTCTTCTGTTCGTTCGGCATTTTCTTGTTAACTTTGTGAAATCTCTTTGCCCTTATTGGTTGCTTTACGACTCTGACGTAATGAAATTAAGAATGTTTGTCTTTTTGCATCATTGTTGCTTCACTATGTTGTTAAAAGTTAGGCGAATTATTTTTATTGTTAAAATAACGATGAGATAAAGATTTCCCTTGACCACGACCTCTCGTTCACTTTGTCTGGCCAGAAATATTTTCAATCGCCAAGTCATTCACTCCGCGCGTTAAATTTTTAGTTAAGCTTCTGACGTGTGTTCCGTGGCGGAAAATTAAAGGAAGAAACCCACAATTTATTTGTTTGTCGCCTTCAGCTACAAACCACCAATCATGTGTAATCGCTCAAACATCAAAAAAGGCAACTGATACATTATGCGTCATATGACAAAGGAGAGTATGAATAACAACCAATCATCTGAAATCGCTTGCAAATCAAAGAAAGATGAATTGAAAAGTAGATTATCTGGTAAGTTATGTTTGAACCCATGAGTCATTTCTCTAGTAGGTTGACTATGATCGTCCGGGTTAGTGTAGTCCCGGGACAGAGGCCTTCGATTCTGAAGATGACTACCGCACAGGTTGTCGAAACGTCAGTGACTATCAACATCAGTCCTATTCAGGACTACGTTCACCCGGACGATCATGCTTAACCTACTTATAATCATGTTATTCCCACATGCAGCGAGATCAAGCGTATGCATCGCTTTGTAATAGATAACTAACCAATGACCATAGGAACGGTATACAAAAAAAGACCTGCTTTTGAAAAAAAATAGGCGGTTTCTCCTTCACCATTCACTGATTTCCTGCGATTTTCAACGATTCACCACTTTCTAAGAAATTTTTTTGTGGTGAAAGATCCTTTCCCTAGAGATCTCCGTTCATATGTAGTATTTAAATTTTGGCTTGTGCTTGCTATAACGCTCACTTCGGCAAAACTTCTCGACATTTTTCAACTGGCAGGCATCGGTGAACATCTCCCTTCTGACAGGTCAACTAATCTTTTCAAAGGCCCTACCTCTAAGAAACTTCAGCCTTAAATCAAGGATGATATGCGCGTACTTCTCCTCGGAAAAGGCATTCTTGTACATTTCTTTGCCGTCACTGCACAGCTACGACGTTAAACTTTCCAATTTCTCGTTTCATGGAGGACGTGAACACAAGACAACGATTTCCCTTTTCTTTTTGTGAACTTGGATACAGTCCTTTAGAATTAAAGTCCTGACAAACTGTGATGATGATCGCCAACATTTGACAAAATAAAACAGTTGGAATAAGAGCGATGAAGGTAATAGCGCGAATTCACTTGTTGGGTGACGTTTTTGCTGCCGTTGCTGTCTTCGCTGCTTGAGTTCCTATACCCTCTTTGCGCTCCATTAATAATAATAATAATAATAATAATAATAATAATAATAATAATAATAATAGAAAAGAATCTTTATTACAAAACCTCAATTAAAATCCTATTTACAATCAACCTGCTGTTACAAAAAATCTAATTAATTAATCAAAAACACTATCTACAATTCCATCTGTTACAAAAGAAACCCCTCGTCCTTCATTAGAGAACAAAAACAATCCTATATATTATAAGTGAAGATAGAAAAAACTATTCATTTTCAAATTCTAAAAAATAGAAGTAACTTAACCTTACATAAAAGAAGAGGAAATAGATATAATTAATAATAAAAGTTCAAAATTCTATAAAATTAAGAATTCCATTATGCAGAGATATTAAGATCCTGCAATCGAATTATACTAATGACGGCTAAACCAGTGTCCATAAAAAGCCCTAAGTATAAAAGCATATAGACACGTATTTCAGATATCCGCACTAGCGACATTTATTTTACAGTCTAATGATTGCTCTAGCTTGCTACGAAACGGCGTTCGCGAACCTCTGACGCATGCATGTACCGATCTTAAGAGTTCAAACGAGATCTGTGTCCTGAGCCAAGTGATTACAACATGATAAGGCTCGGTGTCTTTCTGAGCTATCTTGTCTGCGAGATGCTTTAAGAACCGCTGACACTCGTTTCCCATTCCGCCATTGGTTCCAAACACTAAAGGCGTAAACGAACCCATTTCTACATCTAACACCCGCTGC